TGCTGCTGCGTCTTCTAGCTCTGATTTGTGTGTTTTTATAAAGGCCATGGAGGAGCTGCAGCAGCTGCTGCGCTGCTGCTTAACTCTACACCCATCAAGCAGGCCAGCAGCAGCAGAGCTGCTGTCGCTGCAGTGGCTGCAGCAGCAGCAGCAGCAGCAGCAGCTCTGGTGTACGCGGGGAGCTGATGCTGTCGGCCTAGCAGCACAGCTGCGGGTGGAGGAGGAGCTGCAGCGTGTTTTATATAAGGAAGAAGAAGGTAAATATAATATATAAATTTATATTATTATATATTATAATATAATATATAATATAATAAAAAAAAACAAACAAATACATGCATGCATGCATGCGTTTCATTTCTTCTTTCTTTTTCTTTTTTTATTTTTTTATTTTGGGGGTTCGTATTATCTCTTCTATCGATTTGTTTTTTTTGTTTTCTTTTTCTCTCTTTTTCTGTTTTTTCTTTTTTTTCTTTGTTTGTTTCTCTCTGCGTTTGTTTGTGTGTTATTTATGTTTTTTTTGTTTGTATTTTATCTTTCTCTATTTCTGCTTCTGTTTTATATATTTATATTATTATTACACTTTTCTATCATTCATACAAATTGGGGTGTATAGGCAGTTGTTGGTGTGTGTATGTGTATGTGTGTTTCTCTCTCTCTCTCCCTGTCTCATCTCTTGCTGCTGCTGCTGCTGCTGTTGCTGCTGCTGCTGCTGCTGCAGAAGACTTGGGTTACCCTTGGCTTCCCTTTTCTCGGGTGTCTCCGCAGCGCAGCTTTTTTGATCTGCTGCTGCTGCAGCACAACATACAGCTGGATGAGCTCTTCTATTGGTGGGAGCTGCAGGGGGGCGACGTGCATACAGCTCTTGCTGCAGCAGGGGCCCTCAAGCCAGCCCCCCCTCTCTTTCGTTTGCCTCTTTGCTGTCTGCGTGCTCCTCGCAGCAGCCCGCAGCAGCAGCAACAGCAGCAGCAGCAGCAACAACAACAACAAGCGTGGGGGGAGTCTGGTGGTGGTGGTAGTGCTGCTGCTGCTGCTGCAGGAGCAGCAGCAGCAGCAGCAGCAGCAGCAGGAGATAGAGTGCTGCAGCAGCACTTGCTGCTGCGAGTTGAACTGCTGAGTGCTTTTGCCGGCTGCTGGGGTAGAGAAGATGAAATAACAGACACAGAAAAAGAAAACAAAAAAAATAAACAAAAACACAAAGAACGAGCAGCAGCAGAAGATGCAGCAGAATATAAAAGAACTGTTTGCTGCTGTTGCTCCAGCAACAGCAGCAACAGCAGCAGCAGCAACAGCAGCACCAGCAGCTGCTGCAGCAGCACCTCATACGGATACTCCCCCGCTGCTGCAGCGGCATCCAGAAGAACGGCCGAGAAGCAGCTGCAGCAGCAGCAGCAGCAGCAGCAGCAGCAGCAGCGGGGGGCCCCCAGCCACACAGCAGCCAGCAGCGAGAGAGAGGAAGGGGCCCCCAGTACAGGGGCCCCCCTAGAAGACAGCGGCGTTGCTGCAGCAGCACGCAACCTACAGACCCCCCAGGAGCATCAGCCTGCAGCAACAGAAGCAGCGACATCAGCAGCAGCAGCAGCAGCAGCAGCAGCAGCAGCAACAGCAGCAACAGCAGCAGCAGCAGAGGAAATGGATCTGCCTTTTTTTGTTGCTGGCTTCGCTGAGAGCAGAAGATGGAGAGAGGTTCGGCTCTGGGAGGAACAAACCCTCACACCCATAGGTACGCGGCGCATGCAACTTGCATGCGCTGCTGCTGCTGCTGCTGTTGCTGCTGCTGCTGCTGTTGCTGCTGCTGCTGCTGTTGCTGCTGCTGC